CATTTTGTTTTGATGTTAACATGTAATACTTATGTAATGAATCTCTAATGAATAATAGAATGTGGTTAGTTTATATGTCAATGCATGTCTTGTTAGATGGGTTTAATGTTATTATTTTGAGGGCGTTACAAAAATTGTCAACTATAATCCATAAATTGGAAAAGTTCATGTTGGTTTTTTAGTGTTTCATTTAAAACGATTGAATTCGGATTCGAAGGATAAGATTGTTCAGTTTGAAGCCCTAAATTTGCTTTTAAAGACAAACGGAGACAAAATCAATCAATTTAAAACTGATTGATCATATTAACCATGACCATATTTTGGTTATGATTAAAACAAGCTTTAAGGGGCAAGATTATTAAATTCGAAGCACTGATTCTAAATAAAAATCAGCAAAAACTGTCAACTATAATCCATAAATTGGAAAATTTCATGTTGATTTTTTAGTGTTTCATTTAAAACGATTGAATCCGGATTCGAAGGATAAGATTGTTCAGTTTGAAGCCCTAAATTTGCTTTTAAAGACAAACGGAGACAAAATCAAACAATGCCAAACAACTTAGTTGTATTAAAGCAAAAACAATTACATCGAATGGCCCTCTTTGGGTACAAATTCGAGCTCATAAAAGTAAGGAATAGAATAAATAACAAGATTATGGAATTTGGTCCAGCTATGGTCAATGAATTTCTGTTCTTTCTTTATTCTATCCTCTATTTCTTCCAAAATTGGCTGCTGAAGTTGATGTGCTCTCACTTGATAAAAGAGCTCTTCAGCCTTTTATTTCGATCGATGTTTATTTCAATCCCTGTTCCAGCTCGTCCATATCCAAGTCATCCCAGTATGCAGAATCTTTATTCTTGAAGTTATCGAATTCTTCAATGAGGTTCACTGCTTCGTACTGGGCATGAACTCAAAGGGATGAGAGTTGGTCCAAAGATTGAGTGGTGGCCACAGAAGTTCGATACTAGTGAAGAAACAATGGGAGTTGGTCCAAAAACATGTGAAGCTCTGCTTGGGCGAGGGGGTTGAGGACGTGACCCCGAGTCAGAATGTCATAAGCCCATCGAAGGTTCTTGAGAGGGATGTCATCCTCAAGAACATTGAAAGGCAAGTGAGAGAAGGCCGCAAGCAGAAGTTAGGCTTGCTTCCGCTCAGCTGGAGTAGGGGAAGGAGGAGGCTTGTAAGGAGGAAAGACCTTATTCGCAGAGAGGGCAAGCCTCAGTCTCTCTGTCCAGCAAGAATTTGACGGAGGATGAGGTATGGAAGCTTCCACTTCAGGAGAAGGAGCAAGGGTAGAAGAAACAAGGGCATTAATATAATCGAGCCAGTCAGAAGAGCAAAGCTTCACCTTCTGGGCTAAGAACGATGGATTGTACCCTTGTGCCTCTTTTGGGCGTCGGGTAGCGTGCACTATTTTTGTAGGCATGGGGGATGTGTACTATGCTACAAGTAGATTGTCCTCCAAACTGCGTCATCGGTTGATAGGCACGTAAGGGTAAACCACCGAGCTTCGCGCATAGGAAGGGAACTCTAAAGGATCAGTGAACTCGACAAAGTGATGGTTAATTCGCTCCCTTAAATCACAGGCCTCAGGTTCCGACCAGCTTGCCCAGTCAGAAGCCCCAGAGGAAGAAGAAGCCACAGCCTTATCCCATGCAGAGGATTGTGAAGAAGAACTTCCCATGTCCATATTTGCAACTTTCTGAATCAAATGATTGAGGGCAGTTTGTTTGTAGTCCGAGGGTGAATCAGAAGAAGAACTTCCCATGTCCATATTTGTAACTTTCTGAATCAAAGGATTGAGGGCAGTTTGTTCGTAGTCCAAGGGTTGATAGTTTGCAAAGGCTTCCATGACTTAAATATAGAAAGGTGGGTAAAGGTGGCTAATTAATGCATGGAGGTTCTTTCGAGGAGGAACAACATCATCAGATGACACTTCGTGTGCTCGATCAATGGAGGAGAAAATTGATTCGGCCATAAAAAATGTATCAATCTGTTCGAATACTAAGGTGGTGGGGGTGTTCAAAAGATTGAAGGAGAGTTTAATGCAAATGATGAATGACAGTTGCATTTCTAGAAGAATGCAAAGCCCATGCACGTTTTAAGACGTAGATAAAAGACCTTGATCCACTAATATCACCAAGTATTGGGTATATTAGTGCGGAGGGTAATGTTGGCTACATATTTTGTATAAGCCAATTACAATTCGACGCGTGGCAGAATAAGGGTAATACAGGAAGACTATTCAAGTCTTCAATCATAATCGTATACGTGGCAGTTAGCATTGGTTATTACGAGATCTGAGTAGCATTGGATCAGCAAAGAGATGCAGAATGATGTGGCTTCAACGGTTACTCACATTCAAATTCCAAATTATGAGGGAAGCCTAACTGCAAGTGATGGCATAGTAGAGCTAATTATAAGGCAACATGATCAGCGATCATGGAGGAGCAGTTCGACGGTTGGAAATGCAGTTCGATAGTCATCCTTGAGAAGTATAAATAGCAGAGAAGGCTCCAGAAAAAACCCCCAGACTCAGATAAAAAAAACCAGTCTTATTCTACTTTATTTCCTTTCTAGTTTTACATTTCATGTTCTTTACATTTCTGCACTTTAAAACTCCTGCACTGCACTTCATTCATAGGAGTAGTTTCAAGTAGATTGTTGCTGTAAACCTCTACGAGGCTGAGTTTGGATCATTGTAAATTTTCATTTTAATGAAATGCTTCAATTGTTCTTCATTTAATTGTTATTTGCTTAATTCTCCTAAATCAAGCCACCAGTAAAAGTTTTTTTCATTGAAGTTGAAAGAACTAAAACACAATCGTCTGATAATTGGTTGGCAATTAATTTTCTGTAAGGACTGATTGATCATTGCTGGCATGCTCATAATTACAAAAGTTACCTTCGAAAGCCAAAAAAGCCAACAACTATGTAAGGATTGAAAGTCTAAAAAGAATATAAAAAATAGATCCAATTGAAAAATAGATAAGTTTATTTTAAATAAGAGAGTTGCGCTATATTTATAAGTAAATAATCCTTTCAAAAATTAATCCAAGTTTTTCTCAAATCAGAAATTAATTCAAGTTAAAATTAATTTTTTTGCAATCCAACTAAAAAGCCATGGAACACCCAAAATAAAATTTTAACTAGAATGATATGAATCTCGTGTAAAATTCACACTCAAAACTGACTTGTAAGGGGAGAATGTTTAAGAGCTTAGGTCTCGTTTTCGTTTGGAAAGTGTTTATTTTAGTTTAAGTTAAAAAGTTATTAAAAGATTAATAAATTATTAAAAAAAGTTAAATATTCTTTTTTTCTAAAGTAAAAAAATATCATAAGTATATCAATTTTTTTACCTTATATTTTAGCCCAAAAAAAATCAAAAATTACAAAAATAAAATATTCACAAACGAGGTCTTATATGCACGGGTGATAATTCGGTAGTCCGGAAATACGGTCACGTGGTGTTTCATGGTAGTATAATTGGTAGAAAAGGTGGAATATTAATTATTTGTATTATGGTAGTATAATTAGTAGAAAAGGTGGAATATTGATTATTTGTATTAGATAATTGAAGAATATAAAGAAATATAATAAATGATGATTGGTAAAGGAATATAGTTACGTGATACTTTAGGACTATTATATAATTTTCCTATATGGACATTGGCAAAGCCTATGTTAACCAATTTGAGATTGTAACAGAAATTAAAAATCCCATCCAAGAAGAATTATTTGGTTTCTTTGCATTCTAAACTCAAATCTCCAAACAAAATTTTAAGAATTTTAAAATTAAGTTGAAACAGATCAAATAAATTCTCACAAATCCTAATTTAAAGAAAATATATCAAAATCAAATTAATTTAAGGGTAATTAATAAACAAAAAAATCAATAAGTATGCAATGTAAAAAAATGTTTTCACCAACTCCTCCCCCAATTTTTAAACTATTAATCAATTGACCTATCTTTTAAAATAAAACCATCGTGAATGTGAAGGCAAACTAGTGACACTAGGCTATGAGGACTGCTGTGCAAGGAAAAGAATAAGAAGAGGAAAGAACAAGGTAAGGAGAGAATAAGGCAAGGTTTGAACAAGGAAAAGAACAAGAAAAGGAAAGAATAAGCGAGGGAGAGAAGAAGGCAGGGTTTGAACATACCTGTTAGGAGCCTATAATCTAAATATGGAATATATTAACAAAGTGAATGAACTGCATTCTCGGAGATTCCAAGATTTAGAAGAGCAAAGAAGACCCCATAAGAGAATCAAAAAAAAGAAGACCCTAATATTTTCTGAGTACCAACACGTGATACTTGATTTGTTACTGTTCTCAGTATTTGGTTTTTCATTTGAGTTCTTGATTTGTCCCTTTTGCTAGTTATTTCTTCTTCTTCTTCTTCTGATTCTTGTGCTAATTTCTTTACTAATAACTGCAATCATCAACCAATTGCATGGGAATTTCATGTAATGCTTAGTTAATGTTGTTACAGCAAATTACACCCGTAGTCTTGTAGTTTGTTTCTTGTGTCAATTTCGTTCTTATAGATAGTTCTAATTTGATCAATTCTACCCTTGAATTCTTCACATTTTGTGTCAGTTTAGTGTAATTGATAATGCCCATTTAGAAATTGAACTGAAATCAAAGGGCAAAATAGTCTATTTCAAAGTGATTGATGGATTAAAATGATTAATTCCCTTTTTAAATGTTCCATTTTCTCTTTGATTTTTGTCTAATTTCTTAGCAGATGTTTATCAAGTGAACTAAATTTACACAATGTGAAAGGTTAAGAGGCAAAACTAATACAATGGGAACTACAATGACTAAATTGACTAAAGAGTCAAATTATAGACACAACTGGTATAATTTGCCCATGTTTTATTAGAATCACAAAATAATAGGGTACCTTGTTAAATGTTTCTATCACATGTGTTCTTGAAGTAGATTATATTTGGAGTTGGGTATGTGTGTCTTTGCAATTCTATTTAAAATATATTAGTGGATACATGTGTAAGCTTTGATGATTTTACTAAGAAACACTTGAAAGAATCTCATTACAGGGAGATCCTTATTGTGCCCTGACAACATCAATCTCATTTCGGAGGTTCATGTTGGAATCATTGGCGTGTGAAAAATGGTCGTGTTTCTCTAACAATCAGTACTTGGAAGAAGCTAAGAAATCTTCTAAGCCAGGTTTAGTTGCCCAGAGGAAAGCTTATTTCGAAGCCCTTTACAACAGAAATGGTGCTAAGAAACCTGCAGCATTGCTTGAGGAGCAAAATGCAGCGTGTAATGAACCAAATGTTATGGAAGAGACATCCAGAGACAGCTCAAATCCTCCACGAATTCCAACTAGGGTGCTTACTTTACTTCCTTGCCTTCACCTCATTCACCTTGTTTGCTGCTTTGTGCATGTGCAATAGCGTGCTAGTGCACACTGTAACACATAGCTGAGATAACGTTTTTGGTTTTTGGTAAACTACAGGCATCAGCAAATAGGTTATCAGTGCATTCTCCAACAGCTCCTCAAGAAGAAAGAAGAAGGTTGTTTGTTTGCTTAACCCTTTAAAATTGTGCCATTTTTCTACGTGTATGTATATTCGTCTTCTTTCACTAAAATGTTTAATTTCATGGTTTACAGAAGTAAACCAGTGGATGATTGCTCAGTTTCTAGAAGGAGGATAGCAGATGGGAAATCACATGGGATAGAGTAAGATCTTAGTTTGTCTATGTTGTGGATTGTAGAGTTTTGATTAGATGCTCATATCACTATCTACTGAGTGTAAAGATTTTGTATTGCATACTAGGAACAATAGCTCCAAGAAAGTTCCAAAAGTCCTGCTAGTATTGTGTTTGTGGCACAAGGGATTGATAAGACGTGGATGCAACCTAAGAAAAGTAATAATAATAGTAATAATAAAAAAGTACTCCCAGTTTAGCGCCCATAGGATTGGGGTCTAGGAGGCATAGATTGAATACAAGCCTAACTTTCGCATTATTTGCACAAAGTGGTTACTCTCATGGTTGAACCCACAAACTATCTATCCAAAATGAAGTAGCTTCCCTTGCACTTTCTGTTATGCTGCCTTCTGTTTGTTACTACTCATGCCTAATTTATTTCATATTAAATACATATGTTAATACCATCCTTGCCAGTTATACCATTACAGTTTATAGGAACCAATTTTGCAATTCAAGTATCACTCTTCGTCATCACATGTGAGAAAACCTAAACAAAATTTCGTGCAACACAATTACTCTAACGATGTTATGCAATAATTCCAAATTTTATTTAACACTATGCAGCCATTTGAAGACCTCAGGTGTATCTGGACCCAAAGCACGACGTCCCACAGTACCCTCCCCTTTTAACTTGAGGTGTGAAGATAGAGCGGCAAAACGTAAAGAGGCAAGTCCAGATCCATTCACTCCATGTATATCTGCAGTTTTACTCATTTATTGTTATGCTGATGTTTTTTGCTATCTTTTTATCATTTGCTGTTTCAGTTCTTTCGAAAGCTAGAAGAGAAGACAAATGCCAAGATCTTAGTTTCTGGAAGGAGGATAGCAGATGGGAAATCACATGGGATAGAGTAAGATCTTATTTTGCCTATGTTGTGGATTGTAGAGTTCTCATTAGATGCTCATATCGCTATCTACTGAGTGTAGAGATTTTGTATTGCATACTAGGAACAATAGCTCCAAGAAAGTTCCAAAAGTCCTGCTAGTATTGTGTTTCTGGCACAAGGGATAGATAAGGCGTGGATGCAAACTAAAAAATGTAATAATAATAATAATAATAATAATAATAATAATAATAATAATAATAAAGTACTCCCAGTTTAGCGCCTATAGGATTGGGGTCTATTAGGGGTAGATTAGATACAAACCTAACATTTGGCATTATTTACACAAAGTGGCTACTCTCATGGTCGAACCCACAAACTATCTTTCCAAAATGAAGTAGCATCTCTTACACTTTCTGTAATGCTGCCTTCTGTTTGTTACTATTCATACCTAATTTATGTCATATTAAATACATATTTCAATACCATCCATGCCAGTGATACCATTACAGTTTATAGGAACCAATTTTGTAATTCAAGTATCACTTTTCCTCAGCACATGTGAGAAAACCTAGACAAAATTTCGTGCAACACAATTACTCTAACAATGTTATGCAAGAATTCTAAATTTTATTTAACACTATGCAGCCATTTGAAGACTTCAGGTGTATCTGGACCCAAAGCACAACCTCCCACAGTACCCTCCTCTTTTAGCTTGAGGTGTGAAGAAAGAGCGGCAAAACGTAAAGAGGCAAGTCCAGATCCATTTACTCCATATATATTTGCAGTTTTACTCATTTATTGTTATGCTGATGTTTTTTATTGTCTTTTTATCATTTGTTGTTTCAGTTCTTTCAGAAGCTAGAAGAGAAGACAAATGCCAAGGAGGCAAATAAAGTGTATCTCCAAGCAAAAAATAAGGTCATCTCTCGACCTATATTTTAACGGTGATTGGATTAATTGATTGAATTTTTTTTTCTTCTTTTTTTGACACAAGCAATGCAAATGAAATGCATACCTCTCACAGACCTGAAGAACTAACAAGAGCAAGTGCCTAAATGTCTTGGTCCGGTTTCTAAGTAATTCATGGACGAAATAATTGAGAAACACAAATAGCCTCAGTTGATCTGAAGTTGTTGGGTTCAATAATTCATGAGAAATGTTTAACAGAAATTGAACCCCTATGACCAAGGGGTTCAATTTCTGTTAAACATTTCTCATGAATTCTTAAAACTATTTGCTTTTCTCTTGTACCTTCCCTGCCAGCACTGAACCTGTTAATGTAAATTCTTTGTAGCAGATCTCACTGACACAGCCTATGCAGGTTAAGATGAAGTTAGTTAACCTGGGACATGCTCAGAGGTAGAATCTCATGACATTCCGTCTTGTTATTTCGATTTTTGGTTCTGCTATTTTTCTTTCTATCATCGAATTTACAAGTACTTGGTTATTCATAAACTTTTTGGATATTCACTAACAAAAAAATCCTGGATATTCTGCTTGTCTTGTTAATTGATGTTCTGGTCTTTTAGATTGAATCTTAGATGGGTTCAGTCATTTGGGTTCAGTTAATTGATATTTGTTTTTCTCTTTTGTTGGTTCTTGGAGGCTGAAGCCAGAAAAAGACTGAACTATTTTAATTTTTTCCTCCTTCATTTTGTAATAATTTGTGCCTTGTTTACTGTTAATATTAGTCTGTTTTCTTCTTCAAATATGAGCTTTTGGAAATTGAGAAGATTCAGTGAATTAGATGCTTGGCATTACCCTGGATTTGTACTAGGGCCTTCTTTAAGTCTAACAGGAGTTTTGAGTTTTTGACCTTCAGTTTGTAATTTTCCACATACTGCTTTAATCACTTTATTTACCATGTTCTTTATTGATTGTGCAGCGAAGAAACAAGGATGAAAATTGGCAATGGAGTGCGAATGGGGTGGGAAAGGCGCCGTGAAAAACTGAAGCTGCAGGAAACTTGCTACTTTGAGTGGCAGAATTTGATAGCAGAAGCTTCTAGAAAGGGATTTGTTGGTGAGGAAGAGAAGCAGTGGGACTCCTATGAGATCTTGGATGAACAGCTCGAGCAAGAATGGTTGGAGAGTGTTGAACAAAGTAGAAAAATGGCAAGACCGAAAGGTAGCAAGAGAGCACCCAATTCTCTTGAGCAAAGGAGGAAAATTTCAGAGGCCATTTCTGCCAAATGGGCTGAAACTTGCTACTTTGAGTGGCAGAATTTGATAGCAGAAGCTTCTAGAAAGGGATTTGTTGGTGAGGAAGAGAAGCAGTGGGACTCCTATGAGATCTTGGATGAACAGCTCGAGCAAGAATGGTTGGAGAGTGTTGAACAAAGTAGAAAAATGGCAAGACCGAAAGGTAGCAAGAGAGCACCCAATTCTCTTGAGCAAAGGAGGAAAATTTCAGAGGCCATTTCTGCCAAATGGGCTGAAACTTGCTACTTTGAGTGGCAGAATTTGATAGCAGAAGCTTCTAGAAAGGGATTTGTTGGTGAGGAAGAGAAGCAGTGGGACTCCTATGAGATCTTGGATGAACAGCTCGAGCAAGAATGGTTGGAGAGTGTTGAACAAAGTAGAAAAATGGCAAGACCGAAAGGTAGCAAGAGAGCACCCAATTCTCTTGAGCAAAGGAGGAAAATTTCAGAGGCCATTTCTGCCAAATGGGCTGAAACTTGCTACTTTGAGTGGCAGAATTTGATAGCAGAAGCTTCTAGAAAGGGATTTGTTGGTGAGGAAGAGAAGCAGTGGGACTCCTATGAGATCTTGGATGAACAGCTCGAGCAAGAATGGTTGGAGAGTGTTGAACAAAGTAGAAAAATGGCAAGACCGAAAGGTAGCAAGAGAGCACCCAATTCTCTTGAGCAAAGGAGGAAAATTTCAGAGGCCATTTCTGCCAAATGGGCTGAAACTTGCTACTTTGAGTGGCAGAATTTGATAGCAGAAGCTTCTAGAAAGGGATTTGTTGGTGAGGAAGAGAAGCAGTGGGACTCCTATGAGATCTTGGATGAACAGCTCGAGCAAGAATGGTTGGAGAGTGTTGAACAAAGTAGAAAAATGGCAAGACCGAAAGGTAGCAAGAGAGCACCCAATTCTCTTGAGCAAAGGAGGAAAATTTCAGAGGCCATTTCTGCCAAATGGGCTGAAACTTGCTACTTTGAGTGGCAGAATTTGATAGCAGAAGCTTCTAGAAAGGGATTTGTTGGTGAGGAAGAGAAGCAGTGGGACTCCTATGAGATCTTGGATGAACAGCTCGAGCAAGAATGGTTGGAGAGTGTTGAACAAAGTAGAAAAATGGCAAGACCGAAAGGTAGCAAGAGAGCACCCAATTCTCTTGAGCAAAGGAGGAAAATTTCAGAGGCCATTTCTGCCAAATGGGCTGAAACAAAACATGGTTTGTTAAGCAAGTTTTATCTTTTCCCACTAGGCATTCCGTGACAGGGTTTGCACTGCCCTTTATAAATGTCATGGCACACCAGTTGGAGCAGAAAGGAAGCGAAAGAGAAGGCCAAGTAGTGAGAGACAACCCAGAACACAGAGTCCCACAAAGAAGAAAGCTAATGACACTGATAATTCCGCAGGGAATGTGACTGAAAGCCAAAAGCGTCGTACTAGGTTAAGAAGTAATATGCCCTTATTTAAGGATCCTTTGGCAAGCTCCAAACTAGAGATGATAAAGAACATTAGAGCAGAGAGAGCAGCTGCTGAAAATAAGAAGACTGAAGCCATTGAACGAGCAAAGTAAGTGCCAATTCTTCTTCAATTATATTGTATTATATATTTAACAAGGAATTAAGAGAATATGGAAGCAATCCACTGCTTGTTTGGTGCAGCTTATGGGGACTACTTATCAATTATTTTATTTTATTTTGGGAATCTATGTGAGAGTTTGGTATAGCTTCTACTTACAACTAAGAGGACCTCCAGTCTTTGATCTTTTTTTCATCGAATTTGAATGAAAATTTGATTAAAAGCTTAGTGGTTGTTTGGCATGTGCTAAATGCTATTTTAGCACATTATCCTATTTAGGTCACAATTATCATATTGAAGTCACATCATCTCTCTACCACATCATTTCAAACCCAACTCATATTTCACGTTTATACGTAAAAGGTCAAAAAATATACTAATCTAGCACTTTCCAAACAACCGCTAATCTGATACAGAACACTACCATCCTTTCTCTTTTTTCATTTTTCATTTTTTGGTCAAATATTTTTGAAAATTTTCGATCTTCTCCTAAAAAATTGTTTTAACCATTTTTGGTGAAAGAAAATCATTTCCAATCCTTACTCTTTTCAAAATTTCATCAAATTTGAGTAAAAATATGACTGTTGGGAATTTGGTGAAAGATTTGGTTCGTCATTGATTTGTGAAAAAATAGCCTCTCACTTGAGATTTGATGAAGAAGTTGGAGCACACTTTTAACCATTATGTAAGATGCTCTAACAAGCCAAAAATATCTTAAATAAACTGAAAAAGCTGATTGTTGAGAAACTGAGGAAGGATGCATTTAATTTCTACTCTATGATTATTATCTTTTAGCTTATAAGAAATTGTACCAAACAAGCCTGAGTCACTAACAATTGGTGGCTGGCTGAGTTATTGTTTGTACCTGTACATCTGTCACTACACATCATATGCAGAAGTGCAGAAGTCAGAAATGAATTGCAAACACAACCACCCTCCCCCTCTCAATTGACGTCGAGTCCCTGTTGATATGTTAGGCTGGTTTAGCTATGATTTATCTGAGGATTCTATTCATAGATTTATAACATTTTACAGGTTATTGAAAGCTGAGAAGGCTGCAAAGGCTCTTGAGGCAGCTGCAACAAAGAGCCCTCTCGCTCAAGCTTCCCTCTTTGAAACTAGGAATCTCATAGCCAAAGCAATTCAATCCATAGAAATTGGACAGATTGATTCTCATGGGAATGGTAGACACCCGTCAATCGCCTTAGCAGAACTGGTCAACCAGGCTGAGAGAAAATAATCCAGGTATTCAAGGTCTGAGCCAAACAGATCACGGAGAAATCAATCATTGTGTTTGGTTCCTATTTTCTATTCATTTTTTTGAAAATTTTGGAGTTTTTGTTTGGTTATTTTGAAAACCAGACAAAGTTTTTTGAAAACTAACATGGGAGTATTTTTTGATGTGACAATTTTTTTTTTAAAAAAAATTTATTTCTCTCCTTAAATTGCGGCCATTTTGGCATGAGAATGTTGCAGTTTAACCTTGTACATTGAGGTGCTACTGCAGTTGTCATGTGAGTTTCTTCATATTTATGGCCAACTACTATATGTATCATAATCACAATTACCTGGGTTACTAAAATTCTGGTTGGAAGGATGATATATTAGTGTAGTTATTGCTGTAATGCATCTTTGCAGTTACAATTGAATTAGGCACATCCATGTCATTGTAGACCTATATAATTTTATTTTATTTATTCTGGTTTTGTATACAATTTTATTGTATCCATGTTTGAGTTACGGAAATAATGGCCTTGCAAAAAAGCTCATTTTAGATTATATAATTTTATTCAAAATCTAACACAATTCTCTCTAATGACGTTTTGATACATTTGGTGGGTGAGTTTGGATTTGTTAAAGTTGAAAATCTTAATAATACATTGTCAATTTGAACGGTTTAGATGTTATTTGATCATATGGTTACTTGTATATGATTAACTTAATTTTTTGCATTAGCTTGTCACATGAGATAAACTGTTTAAATCACTAATATAGACATCCCGATTGGTCTTACAATGCACCAATTTCACAGGATCATCAATTTTAGCAAATCTAAATTCTTGGTTGATTTACTTCATATGACAGAGTTGTGTAAAATTTTGTGACCAAATTACGTGAACTTAAATTTTTTTCTAGTGTAATATTTGATTTATTTGAATAAATGTGGAATCGAATGATAATTCTATTAGATTGTTTATTTTCACGTTTGAATCACTAACTTTTATTTTTTACTTTTTAAAGGCATTCATCCAATAGCAAATGAAAAGTTATTATTTCATAAGGTAACAAGGAATGAGCATTTTTTTTATTACACTTTCATTTTAAGAAACCAAAAAAAAAAACATTTTTTTATATATAAAACCCACAAATATCACAGAAAATGCTTAATTTTTAAGAAAATATTACTCTTAAATGTGTCTGGTTAGGCTTGGCCGAACAAAATTTCCACCATTGTTAAGGTACGAGAGCCGTTGTTATTAAAGTTGATTAGGCAATATTTTCTTCCACCACTTGCATTATTCTCTGAAATCGTGCCAAATTTATGAATGTTTTTGTGAGTCTTACTAGAATCTATAACTTGTTTGCTTAGAAATATAAGTGTCTATATTTTTTCACCACAACTTACATTTTATATCATTAATTTTATAATAATGTGAGTTATTACATATCAATTATTAATTTATTTAAAAATTAATATATGAGACTCAATTCCTATCCTTATATGAGTATAATTAATTTCTTTTTGTGTGTGTATATTAACTTACATATCTTATTATATATGTACATGTGTGCTTATATATATATATATATATATATGATAAAAAAAATTATTCAAATTTTGACTTTTCTAATGATAAAATTTTGATTTCGTCCATACTACGTAAGAAGGATTACTTGAAATGTAAGAAACACTTATCAATGTTTTAATGGATTAAGGATTAAAACTACCTGATATGTAAGAGACACTTATTAATACTTTAATGGATTAATGTCATTCTTAGTCATCAAAAGTAGGGATGAATTCAAAATTCAAATGTTATTCTTATTAATACTTTAATGGATTAAGGATTAAAGCTACCTGAGCACTTTCCACATCATTAGAGCTGTATTAGAACTTTCAAATATTATTTTTTTAAATATATTAATAATTACTTTACAAGGGATAATTTTGAAAATTTTTAAATTTAAAATTTTGACTTTCAAAGTGGACATACATTTTGGGACAACAAAAAATGTAATAATGGACCAATAAAATAGGACGGAGAGAGTATCATCGAAAGAATAAAGAATTGAATAATAAATTTTTTTTATCATATATACAGGTATCCTTGTACATATACAATAAGATACGTAAATTATATATATACACACGCACAAAAATATATATATATATATAAGGGTTAATTACAAAAAAAACTTCAAAATTTCCCGCATTTTTCACTTTAAACTGCAAAACAATTTTTCGTTACTTTACACAGACAAAGATGAACAGAAGAAGCACGTTGAGACACAAATGAAACTCTGAACTTTAACTTGTCTAAATTGAAATACTGGGTTTCAAAATAAAAAATACGTAAAACCTTAGATTTTTTTTTTTTTTTGGAAATTAATTCATTTTTTTTAGGTGTTCAAGATTTGGGCCTAGTTTGGGTAAAAGACCAACAAATTTGGGCCGGAATAGGTTTCAAAGACAAAAAACTATATGCCTTACTTTTTCGTCTTTCTCATAATTTTTAAAATTGAAAATTTAAGATTTATTTAATCCTCTTAAAAATAAGATTTATCTGAAAGAAGTGATTTCATGAAAGAGGATTGATTATATATATATATTTCCTTTGGACTTTTTTTGAGAAAAATATTTATATATGATTTTTTTTAGGTTAAACATATTGTTTTGGAAAATATATTTTGGCCTACTACTCATTTATTTGTATTAAAAAATAATTTCAAGTAAGAATATCGAATTTTGTTATAGCTACAATTGGGAGGAGGAAACTCAAATCTCCACATTATCAATGGGCATCTTCAACTAATTGATGTGTCATCAATGTACTGATTTAATAAATCTCACCTTTGATGTCTTATAACAAATACATTAGTAACACAAATAATCTAAAATTTAGTCACCGCAACATAACAAAAATTGAAATTATCTAAGCAAGCAATTATTAATACAATAGACAAACCAAAAGGAATCCAAACATGCAATAAGTTCCTGCTAATGAACATCCAATGCAATCAACCAATCCATAAATCTACACATTCTCACAAAAACAGTTTCTCTATATGTAGCATCATATCATTTTGACCATTTGCATTATACAACATGATCAAAACTAACAGCTAAGAAAGTACTGTAAGATTATGGAATGCAATGTGATTAGTGAGATAAGAAAGTCCTTTTAGACAGTTTTACGAGGGCCTACCAAAATTTATCAGATCAAAATACAATTGAAGAAAGAAAAAGAACAGCCGCCCCTTTCACGCAGGAGGCATTATTAGAACAAAAATGTCCATGTGACTAATCAACAAATGCGTTTGCTACTGCCACTAATTCAACTATATTTCTATACAAGTTATACCAAAGGGTTCAAGTAAACTGCTGTACAGTTCTTTGTGATCTATTTTTTAATATTATTATGTCAGTTCTTATCTTCGGGTGATGGGTTATATTACCAGTGTTCCTTCAGTGATTTGATTATCATCTGAAGAATCAAAGGGTTGAGATTTGGGTTTACTCATGATCCGAGAGTATCCATAACCGAGAGAGCCTCCACTTGCTTCAGAGAGCTACATGCAATATTTGATTGTGGTACCTCAGTCAAAATCCAGCATGATCAAAACTAACAAGACTAACCGAATTACGAAAACCAAACATTAATAAGTACCTCGGTAAGCTCAGAAAGATGGTGGGACCTAAACTTGTTGATAATAGCTTTTATTTCTGACATGGGCAGTTTAGCCTAACAAGGAAAAACAAGATAAAGTAAGAACATTCGAAAGATGCCAAACCAAAATAACCAAACTTCTGTAATGTTTTTGACTTTCCATAGCACATGCTAACAATTTCACAAGCAAGCATCAACCAACAGTAGTAACTAGGGCTGCAATCGAGCCGAGCCAAGCCGAGCTTTAGTATGTTTAGGCTTGTTTATTAAGATTTTAATGAACTCGAACTCGAGCTCAATAAAAATTTAACAAACCAAGCTCGAGCTAAGTTGGTTTAGGCTTGACTCGAGCTTGAGCCTGTCATGAGTCTTAACGAGCCAAAAAATTTATAAATTCATACTTGCGTATGAGACTAAAGTTACAATTAAAACTTTGATTATACAATTTTATATACAATATATATAAACATTCTAAAAAAAAGTCAATATTTTACCAAAATAATAATATCTACTACCACTATTATATAAATGTACCATCTATAATCAAATATTATTTATATTTATATTTATATTTTTTAAATATATAAATAACATATTTATCTTATTTTTTATACATATTTTTATATTATTTAATATATAAATTATAAATATTAAACGAACCAGCTAACGAGCCGAGCTTTAGAATGTTTGGGCTTGTTTATTAAAAATTTAACGAGCTCAAATGCAAAAAAAAATTAATGAACCAAGTTCGAACGAGCTCCTACCGAGCCGAGCTTGTTCACGAACAGCTCTGTTCATTTGCAACCCTAGCAATAACAAGAGTTTGAGTTGCTGCATTGCAGCTGGCGGATCCACAAGATCAGATCCAAATGCCTTCAGTTTTCAATGCGTTAACTGAGTCAAATGCGTTTGTGTGTGTGTGTGTCTCGTGAAAGTGAAATTATATCATATAAATCACAAAACACTTTGGAGAAGCAACAGCCGCTTCTACTTTACGATCAAAGAACCAGCATGGACATAAAACAGGCGCTCAACAATGAAGACGATGTACACAAATAGTTAAATTGAGACTTAAAGGTAAGCATGTAGCAAGTCACTAATTCAAATTAAAATATCCAATAAGATGCACTGTTTTTTACCTGTGCAAGAACAGCAGCAGCTAGTTGGAGACTAGGTTCCAAGGTCTCGGGGACAACCTGTAAGAGTTTCAACTAAAACTTAAGATATGATGTAATTTGAACAAAAATTTGATCTTTATATAGATAATGCAAGATATATTAGTACTGATAAAAGATTTATACACAAGTCAAACAAGAATAATGAGATCCTCAAACATAATCCTAAAATAAAATTGTAAGATTAACCTATATAGGCAATTAGAAAGAGTGAAATAACTAATGAAAATAGCAACAGAAATGTACCGCTGTTGCTTCCGCCTTTTCCAAAATGAGGCCATGATCAACGTCATCAGCACAGACAAATGTCTTGACATTTGGGAAATACTTGCTCAAAGCCCACACTATTTTATAGTTTGCACCGGGGGTATCTAAAGTTATTGCTGCTGCACATGCTCTTTCAGCACCAACTTTATGGAGCACCTCATGGCCAGGAATACAAGCAGCATGTCAGACAATGAACCTGCACAAAGCATATTTAAGTTTGAGCAGGATCATCTATCCCTCTCGACTACCAGCATCACCAAAATACACAGGAAGATCAAGTGCACAGCCAACTACTACTTAGTCACTGAAATGATGGAAAATCTAAAATCAGTTATCTGGATACTGTTGTAAAATATTCTCATAACCATTTAACACATTCTCGGTAAGTCATGGACACGGTACCTTTTCTTTTTTTCCAATTTGCATTTATGTTAAAATGTTCACAGAGATTCAGGGAATATAAGTAAATATAGGAAAATATGGAACCAAAGGCTGGATAATCCTGGATATTCACTTCATAGACTTGAAATCCCCATGTTGTCCTTGGCAAGTAATACTATATTTTATCATAAAAAATGGACGTCATAAAAAGACAAAGAAGGCATACCCCCAGAACAGAACTACATGAAATAGTCATCAAACTGGCATAGATTACCCAAAAGGAACTAGAAAACTCACACAGCCCACACTCATATGACTAAGATTTTCAGCAGAATATTCAATCAGCAATCCCTTCTCTCTCTCAGCCCCAAAATTGACTTTATTCCAGGAATATCAATTCATTGTGATGGAAGCATACCTCCTCACATCAAGAGCAACAAATGGAATAAGTCGTTCTAAAAGAAGCTGCGCAATGATCTGAAAGAACAACAGAAGGAAATACTACTCTTAGACAAAACATGATACATACATCCATACATGAACTACATTATTTTTTGGGGTACGAATCTATAAATAAACTACATTAAAAATAGATCCACCACAACAAATGATTTAAAACAAATTCATCAAAAAAAAAAATGCAAATAGTGACAATACCTGGCCAACACGTCCAAATCCACAGATAATGATATGGTCCTGCAAATCATCTGTCTGGAAACAAGCCAAAGGAAATCAACGATCAATACATTCAGTGAATATTTCGGTGTAATAGCAACATCAACCCTATATCAAAAACAGACAATTCATCCCATGGTCAGATGTATGGCTGCACCAGACATTAAAAACGATTTAAAATTATTGAATAAAAATTTAGTAGATCCTAGGTACAGTTGGACATACTATATTCAGGAGTTTGAATAGATTTAATAACGGATCATATCTTATACAAATATTGCAAGACCAAACTTAGTTTAGTGCGCAGACTTTATGGCAGCCAGTGGTTCTTCACCACCTTCATCCATCATCATCAAATATTTTTGCATGAACTCAAAATGGCATGACTTCGAGAAGTAATATAAACACAAAATACCAAATGCAAGCGAGTAAGTGTTTACCAAAGATTTCTCAAATGCATAAGCACAGTGAGTTTATTGAAACCTAAGATCAAAACAAAATTCATACACATACATGGTTCAACATTAAAAAAGGCTTCATGATGTTGACAAAGAGACTTTTGAGAGCACATCATACATATTTCCCCACATTCTAGTGCAATAACTAATAAAAATTCTTATAATACTTTTTTCTTTTCTTTTTTTCTTTTTTTTTGGGTACAAAAATGGATATGCAGATAGGCTACTCCAACATATCTGCCAGGGAGTATTTCCCTTAGCACCTACATCATATCTGCAGGGAACTCCATTGCACTTACGTTGGGGCTGAACCTTAGGCCCCCCGCGTGCTTCAGCCCTAAAGAGTATGTTTAGTCCCAACAAGGGACTATGGAGACTCGAACCCCAGCCTTGAGCGAGAGATTCGAAGGTCTTATCTACTGAACCAACCCCTTGTTAGTCATACAACAAAAAAAATAAAAATAAAAATAAAAATACATTTTTTTTTTCTTTTTGATTTGCGCCTCCCATGATATAGTTAGAATGATCACTAGAAAATCTATGCTCCATTTTCCTAACCATGCTGAGTTTGAAAAGCTAAGCTACCTAGTAAGCCAATCCTGATTGACAAATCATATCCATAACTAACATAGTACCAATGAACTACAAATTATTATCTAGTGGAAATAAATAAATGAATTGAATTCTGTAAACCACCAATATAAATGCTTACTCAAATATCATCAAAATTGAAATTATGAATTCTACCTTACTCTCTAGAGGCTATGAAGCATGGACACTCCAAAATCGGTGCCGTGGCGGTGTCTGACACGCGGACACGCCAGGGACACGCCATTTGGCGTGTTCCTTTAATTTAATGAATTTTTTTGTAGGGGACATGGCGGGGACACGCATGTCCATATCAGGACATGGCATGGGACACAACGGAGCTGAATTTTAATTTTGTTATATTTATTTGGGGTCCAAGTGTAATATTTAAAAAGTAAAAATAAATAAATTAATTAATTAAAAAAAAATCAACTTGCCCTAATATAGTCTATCAGTGTTGCTGAATTGAAGAGTAATCAATCAATTGAAGAGTATCATTAGTGCCCTAAACCAGTCGATCCACCACCTCCTTGAACCAGTCGATCCAGTCGAAGATCGAAGACCTCCAGTCGAAGCTCCATCCAGTCGAAGATCGAAGCTCCATCAATTGATCGAACAGTCGAAGACCTTAGACGACTTCGAAGGTAAACCTCTCTCTCTCTCTCTCCTTGTCGAAGCTGAACGAAGCTGAAGACTTTTTTTTTTAAATTAGATTTATATATATATACAGACTGTTTTCAACCTTCAAAGACTATTTTTTTTTTTTATAAAAAAAATTATAGGTTTATATATATATATATACAGACTCTTTTCAAATTGAAGAGTGTTTATAGGTTTATATATATATATATATATATAATTTGAACTATAGGAAAAATATATAATACATATTATAAGATGATATATACTTATACATATTAATTAAAAAAAATAAAATAAACACATAGGTAAAATAAAATAAAATAAATTAATTAGAACACATTATTTAAAAAATATAATAATAAATAAAATAATTAATGTGTGTTAAAATAAAAAAAATTGATAAAAAAATTAAAAAATTTGTCGTGTCCCCATTTTTCAGAAATTGCCGTGTCCCGTGTCCGTATGCGTATCCGTGTCCATGTCCGTACTTGTGCTTCATAGTCTACAGGTAACAAACTCCACACATCATGTAGCTCAAAACGAGAGGCTAGTAACTGGCCTCCGGCAGCTAACCATGGGGTGAGGGCAATTGATACCCCTACCACAAGAAACAGCAAAGACGACATCTGACAAGACATTATACCCTGCAAAAAAGGCCAATTAGCAAACAATTAGTTGTGCTAGCAATACTAATGCCAATAGTTACCATTTATATTGTTTTGTTTTATTTATCTAATGTGGGAATACCAGTCCTACACAGTTTATTTATCTACTGTTATGTATTGAAGTTCACAAAAACATATATATATGTGTGTGTGTGTGTGTGTGTTGAAAAATAGGAATCAAAAGGGGAAAAAAAAGACCTAAAATAATAAAGGGATAGCATGAATTTCAGTCAATACTACTGGCTTCCATTCAATGCACCGCCACAGATTTGCTTAGACTCCCATTCACAAAATCAAACTCTCAACACCAATCCAGTCCTATGATCCCTTAAACATAAAATAACCTAAGGTTCACCCAATCTTGGTGGCCTATGTAACTTTGTCTAAATAAATCCCATATCATTTTCAGACCTTGCAATGCTAAACTGACCTAAATTTAGTACTATATCACTTTCATATACTTTTGAGCAAGTATTAAGTACTTATGCTGGTGCATTCTACTAATCAAAGACAAATGATATGGCATATCATTAGTGCATAATGGATAACTCGGATATGAGTGTAAGGTGCAAGTATGTGTCTAGGTGTTGGATTAATCTAATTCTCATGTCCAAGGATACCACAACATGACTAGATTTCATATTTCTTAAACATTTGTTTGTTTTGAATTTTTTTAGTATAGAATGGTATTTGCAACCAAAAATTATTATGAATGAAATGAAGGTCTAATGCATAGTGATATAGTAAACTCAAACCATTTAGACATCCTTGTTTGGTGCATGTCCAACTATACATGTTGGATGCATTTCTCATATGGAACCCTTACACTTACACACGTGGCATGTCTATGTATCAAACACATCATATGGCTTGTCAAATTATTAATTATTATTTTTTGCAAGACATGTTGAGAATACTTCACGGACACACATCCTATGTCTAGACAAGTCTCTTAGAAAACTGATTTGGGGTCAAAGTAAATATATGGAAATCGATGCTTCTCATATCTCTGTGTCCTAACTTAATATTCATATACATAGCAGATAAAAATATATATAAAATAAATAAATAATTTGTATCCCCCATGTTCATATCTTAATTTTTTTGAAAATTCCATGTCCCATGTCTGTACTCGTGTCCAGGTCTCTTAGGCTGCCACTATGAAACCTAAAAGGATAAGCGAAAGCATTTCACTTTCACACTCAAAGATGGTAGGAGACTATCTAGAATGATTTGCAATAATAATAATAATAATAATAATGTGTCACAAACTCAATTGGGATATCAAATCCATTCATACATTAGCACCTTCTTAATAAGCCAACCAAATGGAAAACCACAAATATAAATTTTTTACTTTAAGCTCATATGACGGAAATCCATCTCTTGGACTATGTTTAGATCATGGATTTGGGTTTTCAAATCTCCACCCAAATCCATGATCCAAACAGAGTCTTAGTCGATGCATAATACACATGGAAAATCATGGGTGCCTAAAATTTTGGATTTTAAGTTTTAGGAGACCTAAACCT